GTGTGTGTGTGTGTGTGTGTGTGTGCGTGCGAGTGGGTGAGAGAGGGAGAAGGAGAGAGAGGGGGGGGTGGACTTATTTCGATATTTAATCATCATCATCATCATCATCATCATCATCATCATCATCATCATCATCATCGCCATCATCATCATCACATCATCATCTAGCGATCTTCAATAAATAAACCAGCCAATATCACACCCCTACCCCACCTCTCAAACCGTGTTCTTTTCCAGACATAGACGAGTGTAGTGAGAACCTCCACCATTGTCCCCCACACAGCGAGTGTAACAACACACTAGGAAACTACACATGTCTCTGTCACACAGGATTTACTCAAATAGCATACAACACGTGCCAAGGTGAGGCCATGAAAGGATTCTTTTTCTCTTTCCTTTCTTTTAACATACTGTCTCGGTATAAGTGAATTTTAGCAAACCTTCCAGAACTTACTGAACCCTGTACGGCCATCCGAGGTCTCGACTCTATTTGGGGCCAACTTTGGGTCGTTGTGACATAGAGCATGAAGAACGACGCTCATCTTTCCCCATTTGTTTTGGCTCTCCGCGAATGTTACTGTGGGTCTGATTCAGTCTCCTTTGGTCTCAGTTTTGCTTATAAAAGCTAGATGTTCAAGGCCTTTATGTCTATTCGTGTGTCCCAGAAACTGTATTCATCTCTTCCTAGTTATCTATTATCAGCAAGTGGTCCTCGTGTGCTTCTTCAAGTACTACCAAATTTGATTTCTTTTCATCATTATTGCTTTTTTCCCCCTGGATCAGAGAATGTTCTCCTTAACGCTTCCTAGTAGGTGACCCTGTCAGTCCATATTGTGATCCTCAGTAATTTCCTTAGACACTTGTGGAAGAAAATCTGGATCCTTTTTATGCAAATCTAAGATATGTCCCACTGCTCACATCTATACACCAAGACTGACTTCACCTTTGAGTTGAAAATCCTCAGCTTTGTTCGAAGTGTGATATCCCTGGTCCTCCAAATTTTTTTTCAAAGATGTGAAAGCAGCCTGTGCCTTTCCGATGCGGGACTTTACTCGTATTTCAGAACCTGTTCCTCCCTCTCTGTCAACTATGCTTCCAAGATAGAAGGATTCGACATCTTCTATAACATTAGATTTTATTGTAACCTGCTCCTTTCATTGTGCACCTATCCTTAGGTCATGTGGCCCTCAGGGTTGGAGCCTTTTTTATGTCCTTTGCAACTTAGAAATGTTCAACAGTCTTCTATGAAACCACATTTCTTTTGCTTCCATTTTATTTTCACTGTCTTTAGTCTCCTTCTTCTTCTTTGCGTTGCTCTGCTTGATCTTAGGGATAGTCGACTGCTGTTTCTTAAACGTGTAGTGCAACTGATTTTTATGTATGTGACCGCTATTCCTACTTCACAGGGCCCCTTGACTTCCGATTCCGATTTTGAAGGTACTCCACAAGATTATGTTTTAATACTGACTAGAGCAATTTCAGTTTTGGTAGGAATTTTGAATTTTTCTCGAGTGGCGACCGAAGCTTACTCTTATTGATTTTAAAACCATCAGGAGATTTTTAACATGCGCAACGTGTACACGGAACCTGCGAGATTTTTTGCTTTTATCCGACAAGGCTAGGTGTTACATAATCTTTTTACCATAAGTTTGGCTTTAAAATAACAGAAAGAAGGAGCCAGGATTAGATATAGTTTTTTAGAACTTTTTATTTATCTTAATCATTGAGCAGGATTTGGCTCATTAAAAAAAAATAGAACTCTTTTTCTTTTGTTTCTATATCTGTTTCTTCCTCCTCTTCCTCCCCTCTCTCTCTCTCTCTCTCTCTCTCTCTATCTATCTATCTCTCTCTCTCTCTCTCTCTCTCTCTCTCTCTTTCATCCTCTTCCTCTCTCTCTCTCTCTCTCCCTCCCTCTCTTTGCTTCTATCTGTCTTTTTCTTTTGTTTCTATATCTGTTTCTTCCTCCTCTTCCTCCTCCTCCTCTCTCTCTCTCTCTCTCTCTCTCTCTCTCTCTCTCTCTCTCTCTCTCTCTTTCTCAATATCCGTCTACATCTGCCTTTTCTAGCTGCTCTCATTCTCTCTTAAATCCAGCATTTCTAAACCTCAACCTGCCTCCCTTTTCTCCACATCCACCTCCTCCCCCCTCCCCCTCAGATATTGACGAGTGTAGTGAGAACCTCCACCATTGTCCCCCACACAGCGAGTGTAGCAACACACTAGGAAACTACACATGTCTCTGTCACACAGGATTTACACAGTCAGGACACAACGCGTGTCAAGGTAGGTCATGATTTCCATCCTATCCCTAAGCAATGACCATGTTTCATCCTTCTGCACGTGTTGTTATTGTTGGCGTTGCTTTTGTTATTATTGCTTCTGGTAATGTTGTTATAGGGGCCTATATTATGTTGCTGTTGTTGTTGGTAGTGATGGTTGCGGTGTTGTTACTTTTATGATTATAATTGTTGTTGTTGCTGATGATAAAAAAACACGTAAAAGTGTATTTGCGTTTGTGTTTTGGTGCATTAACCATGGTGGAATGGATATATTGCATATCAAATGAATGGGAGATATTATTGGCTCTGCATTTAGCAATGCTTTTCGACGAATTTTTAACCCTATCCGTACGTCGTGTTTTACTATCGTATCCAAATGACGTGGCGAACTTTGTGCCACCATATTCTAAAGAGGAAATTTACTCGTTAATCCGATCCGTACGCTTTGCTTAGCAGTTTGTCAAAATGATTTTTGGAGAAATACTGAAAGTTTCAAAGAGATCTTCGCACTAGAAGTATTCTAAAATGTAAAGAATACAACCCCGGGGGTACAAAATGACCCCAAGATTGGGTTAAGATAGATGGGGTGAAAACACAGCAGTTGCCAATACCACGCCAAACTTGGACTTGATGTTAAATGTGTTCATTAGTATTTTTATTTACGAGCTTTTGGTTCCGTGTGGAGCACCAAAACTTTTTCAAGCGTAGACTATGTTAGTTAAATTTGGGACAAAGTTATATGCCACGAAGGAACTGAGACCACGAAACTACCATGATTAGGGACGGTCTGGCTGGGATACACAAAACCTTACAGTGGGTGGCATCGTTTAGAGAGGGCAATTGCGCAAGTGCTGGAACCTTTTTTTTGTCTTGGTGTCATTCGGGTAGACATCTTTACATATGGTCGCTTTTAAGGACAAGCGGTCTAACCCAAATTTCAGGAGTTTCCAGAAATCTTGACCTACACCAAAAATGAACATTGCCTTACCTATAGAAGAAGTTTGGTTTCACTGGTGTGTATATTTGTTTGGTTATAGAGACAACCCTCCATGTATTTTAAAGAAACTGAACAAGGGGCAAAAATTTTCCTTCGATTTTCTCAAAACAGCATTTTTCGGGATAGCTCCCTTGTGCTTAAAAGCGACCACTTGACAAAGTACATTCTCACAAGACCAGCACCTTTGCATAATTCTAGGAAAAGCAAGTCACACCAACGACGAAGTGATAATCAGTAAATAGCCCCGATACGAATCTTACAATAAATAATATGTGGAACCCCATGAAACAGCAGCTCAAGAAATGCAACTTTGCTCCCTTTTCAGACGCTTTGTTTTCAACTTTCTGTGACATTTGAAATGAAATGACAGATAATTATGTCCAAAATTTAACCCAGTCCATGCCCAAAGGTTTCGTGATCTTCGCAAAACCAATGTCTCCTTAGTTAACAAAATACTAATGGGCACAATATGTATTGTTAAGTCCATGTTTTGCGTAATGTTTGTGACTGCTCTGTTTTCAAAATGCAGAACATCGAAGTCAAAGTTACATCAAATTATTACTTTCCTATCACTTTCCCCATCCCACTAACCACCCCCTCCTTTTAACTAATCCCCCCCCCCCCGCCCCCTCAGACATAGACGAGTGTAGTGAGAACCTCCACCATTGTCCCCCACACAGCGAGTGTAACAACACACTAGGAAACTACACATGTCTCTGTCACACAGGATTTACACTCACAGCCCACGACACGTGTCAAGGTAGGTCGTGATTTCGATTGTATCCTTTAGTAAAAACTCTTTTTGTCCCCCCCCCCCCCCCCACCCCACATTTGTTGTTGTTGTTGTTGTTGTTGTTGTTGTTGTTGTTGTTGTTGTTGTTGTTGCAGTTGTTGTTGCTGCCATGATATTTTATTGCTATTGTGATCTTTATTATTGTTGGTGTTGGTGTTGGTGATGTTACTTATATAATCATCATTGTTATTGTGGTCTTTGTTTTTGATGATGATGATGATGATGATGATGATGATGATGATGATGATGATGATGATGATGATGATGATGATGATGATTTGTTTGTTTCCTTAATGGGCCTGACAGACTCCACGAAGAAATTTTCGAGCGAGAGCGAGGCTCTTTTTCGGCTCCATTGTCAATATGCTTAGCGGCACCTCCACTCGTCCAAATAACTCCATTTGAATTGCCATCGTTCCTGAACATTCAAACATATGTTTGACATCTTCCTAATCATGGTCACATCTTCGGCAACATGGGCTGAGCTTTTCATTGACAAAGTTCTTATACCATCTTAAACTCCAATGATGGTCCGACCGCAGTCTCGCTAGCTCAACCTGGTCCCAGCGACATTTGATAGACTTTTGTTCCCGCTTATAGGAGTATCCAGAATACACATCTTCCATGTGCTGGTACTTAGTTCTACATGGTGGGTCTTTGATTTCCCTCTTGATCATTGGAAAGACTCCTCTGTATGTTGTTGGTCGTCTGTTTCTTTCAATCTCTCTGGCTTCATTTGCAGCTTGGTCTGCTGCCTCATTTCCTTCTATTCTAACATGGCTTGGAATCCACTGGATTATTATAGTGGCTCTGGCTTCACTGAACTTTCGGCGCAAATCATTCATGTCCGAGCTGTTGCCCAGCAGCCTCTTGCAGAGGGACTGACTGTCAGTCAAGATCAGCACATTGGTCCTACTGTGGCAATTGTCAGCAATCCATTGTGCAGCAGACATCATTGCCTGGCATTCCTCGCCATAAGATGATGTAAGGAATGCACCTTTAGTTTTGATAATTTCTGTTCGTGGTGGTTCATCATTCATTCTCACCACTGCTGCTGCTCCACCTTCGCGGTATCCTGTGACAGCCGATCCATCGGTGAAAATTGTCACATCCGCACTAACCTCTTTGATCACATCCTCAGCTGCTTCACGTGCCTTTACAGGATCATCACCTTTTCCTTTTACTCCTCTCAATTCTGTCCGAATTTCGATTTCGCCATGGGTCTCCCATGGACAAGCTCGCACCATATTGATCGGCCATCGATTCTCTGCTTCAGGGGGGAGGTGGTCTGCTAGATCGGCGCCCATCCGAAACCAACTTTTCCTGCTGTTTTTAGGCTTGACTGCTTGATCAAGGGCTTTCTTTGCATAGGTGGTGTAGTGCTCAGTTCTGGTCTCATAGCGCAGCGCTTCTGTTGGTGTTTTTTCAGCTGACCTGATACAAGTCGGAGGGATTTGTTTTGTATTCTGTCCAGGGCCTTTGCACTAGTCTCACTCAGCCAAGGCTGCCACACTGGAGCAGCATAATCCATCTTGCTTGTCACAAACATCTGGTATTCTTTTTTGAGCGACTCCTTGCCCCAGCCCCATTTTGAGTTGCTGACAGCACCGATAACCTTCATTTTTGAGGTTGCACTTTTGGACACCTCCTCAATGTGCTTGTTGAAGGTTAGCTGTCTATCCAGGTAGACGCCCAGCAGACGTGGAGTGGGGTTGAATGGTATATTTTTCCCTTCGATCTGAATTATTGGTTGCCACGTTGCCTCCTTCACCCATGTTGAGAAGAAGCACACTTCACTCTTGGTTGCATTCAAGGCAAGCTTCCATTCATTGCTCCATTTCACAACCATGTCCACAATCAACTGTGTCTCTTCATTTGTCTTTTCTCTCTTTGCGTGACTGGCCAGTGTTGTGCAGTCATCAGCGAACATTGAGTAGATCAGCTTGGCGGAGATTAGTTGTTGTGAGTCAGGGTTTGGGAGGGATTCTGCCAGGTTGTTTATGAAGAATATAAACAGCAGCGGTGATAGTACAGCTCCTTGGGGAAGCCCTTGCTTGAAACTCTGGCTCTTGCTTGTTTCTCCATTCAGGCGAAAACGGGCTTGTCTGTTTCTCAGGAAACCATGGACCCATCTGATTGCACGCAACGGAACTCCCTTGTCAGCCATTGACAGTAATAGTCTTTCACGCCAAACCGTATCATATGCCTTGGGGTAGTCCAGCAGGACTAGGACTGATCGATGGAATGTTGGCTTTTGTTGAAAACCATCCTCAATTCCTTGACAGATTCTGATGTTCTGGTCCGTGCAGCTATGACCTTGGCGAAAACCTGCCTGAATATCTGCAATCCACTCATTCTTCTCTGACAGGTAGTAAATTCTTTCAGTGTGCATCCTTTCTATAACTTTCACGACACAGGATGTCAAACTAATGGGTCGAAAGGATGTCATAATCACAAGGTGACTTACCAGCTTTCAAGAGAGGAATGACAAATGCCTTACGCCAGTCTTGTGGGCACGCTGCTTGGTTAAGCGACAGATTACATATGCTGAGCAATTCTTTCATTGCGAGTGGGCCAAGCTCTTTTAGGAAAGATGGTGGTCTATCATCGGGTCCTGGAGCACTTCTTCTCTTCATTTATATTATGGCACGCTCCAGCTCTTTCATGATAAAGTCTGGGTATGATTGTTGTTCATCTTCGCTGTTCACATCGTCATACAGTAATCGCTTCAATCGGAGTTTGTTTCTTCTGCGCTCCTCTTGGGTAAATTGGAGCTTATTGACTTTTGCATAGTGCTGGGCAAAAAGCTCAACTTTCTTCTTTGCTGATGATATCCTTTTCCCGTTGTGTTTCAGTACTTCGTTGGGAGAGTTGGTATCTGGTGATCCATTTAGAGATTTGATGAAACTCCAAGTTTTCCTTTCGTCCAGATCATTTATCACGCCATTAACTACCCCCTTCTTCTGGTTAGTCTTTGCTTCTTGGACAGCTTCTGTAACATCTTTGCAAGCTTGTAACCATTCCTCCCTGTGTGAGGAGATATTTTTTCTTAGCTGGTTTCTTTTCTTGATCAGTCCACGACACTTGGGGGTCATCCAAGAGTGGGATTTCTTTGACGCTTCACCTTCTTGACATGCGCATAAGCTGCTTCAAGTAAGATGGCATTGAAATGTTGGACTCGCAGATTCAGATCGTCAGTTTTCGGTAAGTTATCCATCTTGCTTTCAATCTCATTTCGAAAGTCTGGCCAGTTCCCTCCGTTTCTTCTCCATCGTGGCGTTTTTGCAAAGATCGATTGATGTTAAGTTGCTCTGTTCACTACAATGATGATTGCAGAATGGTCAGAACCACCGAGATCTTCATCATCCACCGACCATACACATTTGCTCTTCCAGACACTTCCACATAGCGTGACATCTGGCGAGCTACCAGCCTCTGTTGTTTTGTTGATTCGGGTGACAGAACCATCATTCAGGATGTCATGCAATTTATGACACGCCCATTCAACTACATCTTCTCCTCGCGCATCCTCTGGCTGAATCTCATCCCAGACTTGGGAATGCGCATTGATGTCACCGCAAATGATGCTGGATGGCGACACTGGGATGCTGTTCAAATCAAGCTGGATGGTTTGACCTGTGCTGTTCTTGTGTGGGCAGTAGACATTAGTGGCAGTTATCCACTTTTTTCTTGTCATTCTTATCCTGATGGTCAGCGATTCTGTTACTGTCTTCGCCCTTCTATCCACTATTTCATACACCAAACTATCTCTGACATAGTTGATCAATCCTTCTTCTCGGGCCCCCTGTCTGTCTTCCCGAATCGCGATGTTACCTTTGATATGTGGGGTTATTTGTCCTTTTCCCAGTTTGCTCTCTTGGATCATTGCCAAATCAATATGACGCTCCTTAAGCCTCATCTCGAGTTCGCCAACCTTCGTCTTTATACCATCGGCATTCCATTGAAGAATGCGCAAGCATTTCTTTTCATATGACTTCATTTGTTTGGATATATCATCTATTGAAGTGTCAAGATTTGGCATGGAAGCCTCTGGCAGTGGGGTTTGGGCATCAATACATTTCCAACATGTCCAGTTGTTCAGACGTCTTTTCATCTCTTCGTTCGTCATCTTGCAACATTCTGGTTTCTTGTGGCAACATTTCCCACACTCAATACACCTCAGGCCCTGAGAATCTCCATAGGTTTTACGGATAGTCTCATTGCAACTCAAGCAATGTACTTTAGCAGAGCTTGATGGGATTCCTGCTGATTGGTCGCTACCCAGTGGAGGCTCACCTCTGTGGACACGGCATGTCCATTCTTGCCTGGAGCTCCACCTACTGATACCACTACATTTTGGCCCTTTGTGTGTCCTTTTTTCACACCCCTCCTGATTACATATCTTAGCTTTTGGTAGATTGGCTACGCTAAATGCAACCCCACACTCGCTACACCGCACCAGCTCCTCTGGTCCCGGGTTTAGTTCAATGTCACCTGCACGACTCAATCTGATCTTTCTGTATCCAGAGTAGATTGTGGTTTTTCCAGTCTTGATCTGAGGATCAGGAATGCGGAAGTCAGCGACTAGGAGTCTGCTCCCGCTCTCCAAAAACACGCTGGGACGTGCTTGTTGCCAAAGGTCAGATCTTCTTGATGTCTTCTCCCTGATTGGCGAGTGGAGGTGCCTCTTTGTAGTGACTTTGAGTCGGCTGCAGAGCTTCCCCATTGGTTGTGGCTGTCTTCGTTAGGACGGTACTCCCCATCGTGAAGGGGACAGCTTGCCACTTTGAGTACCTGATGATGATGAAAATTGTCCTTAAACTCTCCCTGCTTACTCTGCTTTGTCTACCATAATGATGATGATGATGATGATGATGATGATGATGATATCATCTACAAAATGCAGCATGGCGTCGGTAGTCAAGTGGTTAGGCTACGGGGGACTCGTTATCGTGAGATTGCCGTCAGCTAGGTCCAACGTTGTGTCCTCGGGAAATGCACAATTTAAATGAATTTCTCATTTGGCTCGGTCCTTTTTGGAGATGGACGTAAAACTCGGAGGTTCAGCCTCTTAAAAAACTAATTTTATTGATAGGAGCGTTAAACCCATACCATTTTGCGGGACGCTGAGAATGTTTCTGAGTGTTCTATAGTTTGCTGGGGAAATAATATTCTAGTCTTAAGCGAACAGAGCTTGCTGTCGAGCGGGAATATGCGCTATACAAATTATGCTATCTATCTATCTATCTATCTATCTATCTATCTATCTATCTATCTATCTATCTA